CCGCCCCTTGTCTGCCTCCCCCCGGCCCACGCCCGCGCTTCCCTTTCCTGCCTCCCTCGCGCCCCACTCCCTTTCCTCTCCCCTCCCAGCTTCTCTTCCTGCCCTTCCTAGTGCTCACTCGCCTTCCCTCCTGCCTAGCCGTTTCTCTTTTTTTTCTTTTGCACTGGCGTCTTGAGGCTTTTACACATACATGCGCTGTCCGTTGCAGCTTACGTAAAAGGCGCGCGATTATGCAATTACATTGTTAGCTATATTTCAAGAGCAGTAATAGCATCTTAAAGGTTTCTACACGAAGGGTTTTTAAACAAGAGTTGAGAACAATTGCTAGCATCGTAAAGAATATTTTTCGGTGTTTTTACACAATCTTTACTTAAACCAAAAAATGGGATCACGTTAATGGAAAATTGAAGAGATGGAAGGTGGTAACCATTTTAGTACAGTTTAAGCAACTTTAGTATGAAACATTAAATATCTGATGGGAGGAGCTATTCAAATAAATACAAAGCATGTGCTGTTATTTTTATCATGGAGCAGTTCTTTAAACAGTTAAAATAAGATTCTATTTTGACTTGCAGATTCCTTAGAGGGTTTTTATTGCAAATTTTGGTCAAATATTAAATTTTCTGATTATTTTTTGTGCTACTTGCATCAGCCGGTCATAGACTCCTGTTGCAGTTGGCTACTCTGGGAAGAACATAAAATGTTTTTCTTCTTCCAAGCCAAGCTGTTCTCTTTTGGATGACAAGTGCATTGATGCCTTTAACCTTAGGTCCCCTTGATAGTAATAAGTTCCTTGCAAGGTTGTCCATATTCAAGCCTAAGTTTGAGAGGAAGAATCGGGAAGATTTTATCACTACTACTTCATAGTAGGGATGAGAAGAATAAGTTTTATCTTGAAAAGCTGTGCAGATTGTTTAAACACACACACATACATACATTACTCTGAGTGTCATGTGGATGACAACAGTAGCTTATAACATGAGTCTTGTGTTTATAGGAGGAAAGAATGGAAATGATCTGTGAAAGATCAAAAGAGAGTGTGTATTCCTGGAACAAAACTGCAGAGAAAAGTGACTTTGAAGCTGTAGAAGCACTGATGTCAATGAGCTGCAGTTGGAAGTCTGATTTTAAGAAATACATTGAAAACAGACCCGTCACTCCAGTGTCTGATACGTCAGAGGAAGAGAATCTGCTTCCTGGTACACCTGATTTTCATACCGCAATCCCAGCATTTGTAAGTATTGTTGTTTCAAAGATGAATGTAAATGATAATGCTTCTTACAGTTTATATCATGGACTCGACCGTTCTTCACGCTGTTGCCTATGTTTCTCTTCTCCGTAGTGTTTGACTCCACCTTACAGTCCCTCTGACTTTGAACCGTCTCAAGTGTCAAATCTGATGGCACCAGCGCCACCTACTGGACACTTCAAATCATTGTCAGATACTGCCAAGCCTCACATTGCTGCTGTACCTTTCAAAGAGGAGAAGAACCCTGTACCTGCCCCCAAACTCCCCAAGGCTCAGGCAACCAGTGTGATTCGTCATACAGCTGATGCCCAGCTGTGTAACCACCGATCTTGCCCCGTGAAAGCAGCCAGCATCCTCAACTATCAGGACAATTCATTTCGGAGAAGAACCCACCTAAACCCTGAGGCTGCAAGAAAAAACATACCTTGTGCCGCTGTGTCACCAAACAGGTCCAAACGTGAGAGAGACACAGAGGCAGATGTCGAAGAGAAACCAAGCCCCGCTGCACTTTATGACTTTTCTGTGCCTTCCTCGGAGACTGTCATCTGCCGACCTCAGCCGGCCCCCGCGTCCCCACAGCAGAAGTCGGTCTTAGTCTCTCCACCCGCAGTGTCCTCAGCAGGAGTACCCCCTATGCCGGTCATCTGCCAGATGGTTCCCCTTCCTGCAAACAACCCCGTCATGACGACCGTCGTCCCCAGCACGCCCCCCAGTCAGCCGCCAGCTGTCTGCCCACCTGTCGTATTCATGGGCACTCAGGTGCCCAAGGGCGCCGTCATGTTCGTTGTACCCCAGCCGGTGGTTCAGAACCCAAAGCCTCCGGTGGTGAGCCCAAATGGCACCAGACTCTCTCCCATTGCCCCTGCTCCTGGGTTTTCCCCTTCCTCAGCGAAAGTCACTCCTCAGATTGACTCATCCAGGATAAGAAGTCACATCTGCAGCCACCCAGGGTGCGGCAAGACCTACTTTAAGAGTTCTCATCTGAAGGCCCACATGAGAACTCATACAGGTACTGGCCGTTTCTTACTTACGTCTGAGAAATTAGGGTGTGCTTTTTGATAGTGATCCCAAATGTAAACCAGGCATGTTAAGAAAGAACTGGCCTTATTGGCCAATTCAGTGGGTGGTATTCACCAGTCCACGGTCTTCTAAAAGATCTCATTAAGGTGTTTTTGTTTTAATTTTTCAAATGATGATTCTTTTTAGTGTATTTAAGCTTTAAATATAATTTAATACATAAAGGACCATGACTTAATAAATGCATAGTAGTAAAGATAGGACTTTTTTTTGTTTCAGGAGAAAAACCTTTTAGCTGTAGCTGGAAAGGTTGTGAAAGGAGGTTTGCCCGTTCAGATGAACTGTCCAGACACCGACGAACCCACACAGGTGAGAAGAAGTTCGCCTGTCCCATGTGTGACCGGCGGTTCATGAGGAGCGACCATTTGACCAAACACGCCCGTCGCCACCTGTCAGCCAAGAAGCTACCAAACTGGCAGATGGAAGTGAGCAAGTTAAATGACATTACCCTACCTCCAACCCCAGCTCCCACGCAGTAATAGACGGATGGTGAAGAATCAGACTAACTTTAACTTTGGTCACAGCCAGAAGCCAGTGGTGATAGAAAAATGCTTCCACTGCAGGTCTGTGGCCCTCCAGTGTGGGCTGCAAGCAGAAGCCCCACGGCCTGGGGAGAAGGCCCAGCCTGGGTTAGATGGTAAGAAGTGCTGCGGCCACAGGCAGGTCACCGAGTGGCAGGACTAGTTTCTTACCACATAAGAGAGAGAAGAAAGCTTTTATTCAATATTTTTTGAAGGTTTCAGGTGAGGTCACCCCAACCACCGGTAGCACAGATTTTGAATTTGTGTGCACAACTTCTTGTTTTACTTTCACCATTTATACTTGAGACCAACTTTTCAATGTGATTCTTCAAAAGCACTGGTTTCAAGAGTATAGAGACTGGAAAACATTACGGTACAGAGATGGAGATGTAAAATTGGTTTTGTATTATCACGAATATTATTATCTTTTCCTAGAGTTACCTTGTTTACTATTCTTAGTCTTTCCATTCAACTCGTGGATGTAGTTGTTAAATATATCTAGAACTAGCATTTTTACACTAGTTGCTGATGTTTGGAATTGAGCAACTGTATATTGCTGAAGAGGTCCCAAAGAATTGGGATCCTCATTAATTTAATTGCTTTGAAATGTAGCTTCAATTTTTTCTTGCATTTTTGTTTTAAAAGTTCAACAAATGACTATTACTAGGTATTTTATTATGCTTTGAATCTTAGTTGGTTGCAGTTTCTTGTATAGATGTGAAAATTGTATACCAATGTGTTTTCCATAGACTCTAAAATACACTGCACTTTGTTTAGAAAAAAAATTGAAGATGAAAACATATTGTAAAGAAGGGATATTAAGGATTTTAGATAACTCCTTGAAAAAGATGGCTTAGGTCATCAGTAAAGTACCCTTATGTTATGAGGATATAACATGTGCTTTATTGAATTAGAAAGTTAGTGACCATTATTCACAAATGGATAAATGTCCTGTTAATTTATAGAAGTTTTTTTTTTGGGGGGGAGGGGAGAATGTGGAACAAGATAGGTAGAAAAATAGAACATTCACTTTTGTTAACAGTATTTCTGTTATATTCTGTTGTGTAGTGGATGATATACCCAGTGGTAAAACAAAAGTCAATTGTTGAAAATATGTAGTGAAAAATGTCACTATGTCTTTCCATTTAACATTTTTCTCTATATTGGGTACAGATTTCTGCCATCAAAACTTTGGACCCTTGGAAAACAAAAATGAACTTTTAATTAAAAGAAATCCTTGTGATTTACAATTTGCACAATATTTCTTTTGTTGTACTTTATATCTTGTTTACAATAAAGAATTTCCTTTGGTATATATAATTGGTTGGTTGTATTTATTGAAAACTATTTTCACTTTAACCTTGATGTTGATCACTGTGGTGCTAAGATTTACGATTAATTTCTCTTAAGAACCTCATTCAAAATTGAGGTTTTTGAATGCAGGAGTTTCTCTTTCACATGAGTAATCAGATTGGTGAGTATGCAGAGCAAGGACAGGGAAGTCCCTGGTGGTCGAAAGGTTAGGATAGGACTTGGCACACTTGCCAAGGGCCTCGGTTGGGGAGCTAAGATCCTGCAAGCCACCTGAGGTGGCCAAAATAATAATGATAAAATCTAATTAGAAAAAAAAAGATATCTACCTATATATTTGTTGATAATATGTGAGCCTACTTTTTCTAAGAAAGCAATCCATTTTAATTTTTAAAAATTTTTGTATATTTTGGTGATTTGGGGTTGAAATACAGCCCCAGCTTTCCCTAAAACCTTAAGTGGCGCTGAGTGAGAGAACACCACAGTGAGTAATTACAAGTAATGAGACTGCTGTAAAATGAAAAGAAGGCCGACCTATTAAATAGTATATTACTCACCTCTGGAAGTTAGATTAACTCAGACCATTAAATGAGAGCTTAAATGCAATAAGCGTACCAGCACTTAAGCTGCATGAAAGCTAATGAAGAGATGCACTCGCTAGTCACTCACGAGTACAACTAGGAGATGTAAATGCCACTCGGTGTATAGTGTATAGTTTTGGAGATTAGTACTTTAATTTGCTCTGAGATCACCTTGTCATGAGACAACATCTTACACAGTATTCAACTTACTGGCTGACCTGGTCTGGCTTTCTGCTGAGGCCATGGTGAGGGGCAGTGTGCTCACTTGGCACCAATTGTAGGACAGGCATCCTGACCCCTCCAGGCACCTGCTGCTACTTTTCCAGGAAACTTACACCAACTAAGCTCAGTGCAGCTGCTGGAGGGGGCCTTACCGTTGTGTAGTGTCTTGTGTTGGGACCTGCACCATCCTAATCCCTAGAGTTCCTCAGGGTGGCAGGTCTTCAGAAGTGGGAAGAGAGATGGCTGAAGTATTCTCTGCCTGGCCCAAAGCCAGTCCGTGGTAATGACAAAGCCAGTGGAACTGGGCCACCCATTGGTATATTCTGCCCAATCCTAGTTGACACCTGACACTTTTCCTTAGAAATCTTGTAAATCAGATTATTTGAATTAAGTATTTGAGTTCAATGTTGATGCAGACTCTGGTCTTGTGCAAAAGTTGCCCCTAAACAAGTGTCATTTGTAGCTTGTTATGATAATGTGGTATTAAGAGTAGCTTTGCGCTGTACTTAGTTGCTCAGTTGTGTCTGACTCTGACCCCATGGGCAGTAGCCCGCCAGAATCTCCTCTGTCCATGGGGATTCTCCAGGTAAGAATACTGGAGTGGGTTGCCATGCCCTCCAGGGGATCTTCCCAACTCAGGGGTCAAACCCGGGTCTCCCACATTGCAGGCAGAGTCTTTACTAAGCCATCAGGGAAGACCAGTGTAGCTTTCAGTTCAGTTTAGTTCAGTCACTCAGTCGTATCCAGCTCTTTGCAACCCCATGAACCACAAAACACCAGGCTTCCTGTCCATCACTAATACCCGGAGTTCACCCAAACCCATGTCCATCGAGTTGGTGATGCCATCCAGCCATCTCATCCTCTGTCCTCCCCTTCTCCTCCTGCCCTCAATCTTTCCCAGCATCAGGGTCTTTTCAAATGAGTCAGCTCTTCACATCAGGTGGCCAAAGTATTGGAGTTTCAGCTTCAGCATCAGTCCTTCCAATGAATATTCAGGACTGAT